CACACACACACACACACACACACACTCTGTGCTTTCAGCTGCTGGTCCTGATGTTGAAACACAGTGAGCGGTGAAGCAGGAGAGTGTAATTAACAGTTAGTTAATCAGTCACATTGACTGCGGTGAACTCTAGACTGGTATTGAGTTAAAAGGGCTCATTAAACTCTCATTTAACTCATTTATTCTTGTCTAACTCGCCATCAAGGTCAGTTTGAGGAGGTTTGGGCTCTTAAATCAGTCTGAGATCAAACACTCTGCTGCTTTCTTCTGTTTGTTGTGGTTTCTCATGTTTGTGATGAGATCAGGTGTGTTCAGACTGACAGAATGAGGCTGAGCACATCATCACATCACGACACCAATCAAACGCTCCGCTCCTCTGAGGAATCGTGTGTGTGTGTGTGTGAGTGTGTGTGCGCGTTTTTGTGACAAATGAGCAGTGCTGCTCTTCTGCAGTTCATTCATATCAGTATTTCTGATCACATTCATACACAGAAAAACCCCACAAAAAAACACATTAATTAGCATCTCAATTAACTGATTTTTTGAGTCAAAAATATAATATTGCTGAATCAAACTAAACACATTCTTTTATAACATATTTAAAGGGTTGAATAGTTGGAAATATCTCTTTAACCCTGTAATGCCTGATATATGAAATAACTGCCAGAAAAATCTATTATGAAAAATTTTTTTTCATGTGTTTTGTATCATATTTGATACTTTTATGGTGCATATAGTGAGAATATGAAGCTCAGTTCGTAGGATCACAGAACTCGCTTCTCCACTGTGAATAAATCACCATCTGAATCCATGAGTGTTATCGCTGAGGTGCCATGGGAATTTATTTTTACAGATGTCCAAATGAGAAATAATTACCATCCGTAGGGCTTTAGTAAGATGATATTTCAGTGATCAAAACATGTAATGTGTGTGTGTCAGCGTTCCAGGCGTTTCTGGGCCGGTCAGACGTCAGCCGTGAGCTGGAGGAGGTTCACGCCGAGAGTCGCGCTCAGAACACGCAGCGGACGGCGTCGGTGCTGGAGCTCTTCCGGAAGCGCTCGCTCCGCTGGCAGCTGATCACGGTGATCGTCGTCATGAGCTGCTATCAGCTCTGTGGACTCAACGCCGTGAGTTCATCAGGAACAATCACACATACACTACTGGACAACAGTTTGAGACGTTAATGTTTCTGAAAGAAGTCTCTTCTGCTCAGCAAGGCTGCTTTTATTTGATCAAAAATACAGTAAAAATTGTGTAATATTATTATAATGTAAAATAGTTGTTTTCTATGTGAATCTCTGTTAAACTGTAATGTATTTCTGTGATGCGCAGCTGTATTTTCAGCATCATTACTCCAGTCTTCAGTGTCACATGATCTTCAGAAATCATTCTAATATGCTGATTTGCTACTCCCTGACGATCCTCTGATCCTCTCTTTCTGTAGATCTGGTATTACACTAACGGGATCCTCCAGAAGGCCGGTTTCGAGCCGACGCTGATCCCGTACATCACGCTCAGCACCGGCGGCATCGAGACGCTGGCCGCCGTCATATCGGTGAGAGACACGAGACCCATCGAATCAACATCGAACTGGATTGATCTGAATAATGACTCTATTGTCTTCTGTAGAGCTGCTTTACAGCTGAAACTGAGTTTGGCATCATTGATTCTCTTATTATCCTGCTTTGAAAGCATCTCTGTTGTAGAAACAGCAGAGGCTGGACGCGGGTCAGACTGCAGGAGAAGCTGTAATGAGTTTAGGGAGAAGGGGAAGCGTCTCGTGTTCGGAGCCGTGTGTTTGTCCTCATGGGAAATCAGAGGCTGATCATCCTGAATCAGAGAGCATCATGGGAATTCTGCTTTAGCAGCACAGTGGACACCAGCAGAACGAGTGGCAGCAGCCTGCTGATGTGTGATAGTGATGCTCATCACCGTCCCATGATGCTCTCTGATCACAAACAAACGCCCAGAACACAAGCAGAGATCCCCACTGTTCCTCAGCATGACTGAGTCTAGAGAACTAGTTAATTACTAACTATTAGCATCCTCCACTAACATCAAACACACACAATACTGACTGCCTTCATCTTCAACATCTGTTGGTTTAGAGTGTTTGTGTGTGTGTGTGTGTGTGTGTGTGTGTGTGTTTTGATCATGTGATCAGAGTTTGTTTTGACCAATCGCAGCTGTAGTTATCCGCCCGATAGCTGATGTCTGACTCATTTTAAACTGATAAATAAAACTCTTTATTCCATTCAGGTTATAAAATGAAGTTAAATGAAATAATAAATTAAGTCACTTTAAATGGAAAATTAATATACATAATGTTTTAAAATGATGTTGTCAGGGATCTGGAGGGAGGACTCAAATGCAGGGTGAGTGTTATCAGATTTATTAGACAAAAACGGCTGACTGGACAAGAGCTAGTGAGGAGGGGAGTGGACACAGTTCATTCAGCAGGCAGGGGTTCGACAAGTGGTCAAGCAGGCTGAGAGAGAGGCCGTTGGGTCCAGCCCAGGCGGACAGTTGGCCCGAGAGGAGAAGAGGCTGTGCAGATGGAGACCGGAGGTTGGCAGCGGTGGCCTGCCAGGAACACAAAGCCCGGCCACTCCACACTCGTGACCCCTCAGACACTGCACAGGCCTAGCTACGTCGCAGACCCAGGGAGAAGACCGGCAGCTCAGCACGCAGGACAGGACTAGACATGACTGCAGACAGACAAGAAACTTAAACCAAACTCAACACAATCTGGCAGGGAGAACTCAGGAACATGACGAATAGAAGCGCTAGCAAACATGCAAGTTGGAACAATGAACTGACAGCACAAGAGAGGAAGGGAGCACAATATAAAGGGGCAGAGAACATGAGGAACAGATGACCACACTCAGACAAACGAGGACTAAACAAGAGAAGGACGTGAGGAACAGATGACCACACTCAGACAAACGAGGGCTAAACAAGGGGGCAGGACAAGAGGAGCACATGGCAGACAGCAACAAAGACAAAGCTATGTGCTCAGACACAAAACAAACATAGAAACATGAAACAAAGACAACACAGACAAGACAGACAGGGCAGGATCCTGACAGTACCCTCCCCCCAACGGACGCCTCCAGGCCTCCACACGGTACAAGGAGGGACCAACTGGGGGGGCAGGTGGGGAACAAAACTTGGAATTTCAGTGCAGCCAGGAAACAGAGGGTGGGAAGGGAGGGATGGGAACTTGACTGGACACACTCTTAGGTACAGGGACTGGCTTCACTGCTGTGGACTTCAAATTGGGCTTAGTAACGGTGACAGAAACGGGGGGGTGACAGAACTGAAAGGGAAGCTGTACATCCTTGAATCAGGTTTGGAGACAGGTCTTTGAATATCCTTGTGGAAAACAGGAGCGGGCTCTTGAACGGGTTCTCTCTGCAGCGGGTTCAGGAACCACTCTATCTGGAGCGGACTTGTGAACAACCTTCTCTATAGCGGGCTCGGGCACTGCTCTCTCGGGAGTAGAGGCTGACATTTTTCCGGTAAATACCGCGGGTCACGGGAATCAAAATCACTATTAATCACGTGATCGGGACAGGAAAAAATGTCAGCGTGAGTTGGCGGGACCGGGAATTGTAATAACACTATGATACCCAACTTTATACACAAATATACCTTTTATATAAATAAACTATAAACTGTATATTTTAATTTTGAACTCAATTCTAGTTGCCCTGTCTCTTTATGCTCTCCTCCTGTTTGCTTTGGTGTGGCTGGTTAAGTGAATGACGTATGCAGTCCATGATGGACAGATCGTTAACGGCTGGCCTATGTGGTTATATAGTGTACATCGGGCAGGACATCCAAAAGCCCACCTATCATTCATCGACCTAAAATATAGCTTTTCATCTGAAAGATGTATGTAGTAACAACTTTACATGGCTACTCAATCTACTGTTAACCTAGAGAAATATGCGCTATTGAAGTGTGTGTGGAAGCTGAACAGCTGCGCGCTCACAGCAGGACAGATGGAGGCACCGGTGCGCTCACTTGCTCTTAAAATACTCTGTAATTTTTGGTCATACAGATAAAAGTAATACATATTTCGAATCTATAAAGACTCACTCTACATTTATTTGTGTGCACTCAGAATAGCAACGAAACGTTGCGCTTCTGTAAAATAATTTAAAGTAAACAGGATGTGCTTTCTGTCGTCTCGGTCTGTGAACTTCAGCGAGAAATTTCGAAACTCCATGTATGAAAAATAAATCTATAGAGTGTGAAATGTATACTTTCAAATGAAAAAAATTAAAATAGAAAACATGTGTGTTAGCATGGATGATTTATATGAAATTTAATGTGTGTGCAATGCACACTGTTTAAGATGGCTTTCAGTTCAATAAAATAACAAAACTACATTTTTTATTTTTATTCAGCGAAAGTGGGCATGATGTGATCTGTACTGTATTTTTTTTTTACTGTAGCTGACAGATTCCGGCCAAACACAACACGGGAGTGGGAGGGAATGGGAGTCATTCTTCCAGGATTTGGACGGGACGGGATTTTCCCCCAGTTTTTTCGTGGGGTTGGGACGGGATTTTTTTTTGTGGGAGTGGGACGGGAGAGGTTTGAAAATCCACTCCCGTGTCACCCTCTACTCTGGAGCTGGAGCGGCATCTTGAACAGTCTTCTCTGCAGCGGGCTCGGGAACCGCTCTATCTGGAGTGGATCTAGAAACAACCTCCTCCATAGCGGACTCTAGAGGCTCCCGGACCGGAGTGGACCCTGGGGGCTCACCTTCAGGAGTCTTACACTTGGTGGCCATAGTAAGGGTGACGAGAATCTCTTGTGGACTTGATTAGGCTGGCAAGAGATTCAGAAAAGGCCTCAGCGGTTGCGACAATGGGCTGCTTGGGAACGACCTCCATGGCTGTGACTGGGAGAGCGGGGTGCTCGGAGATGGCCTACGTGGCCATAAGAGGCGCTGGAATGGCCTTCGTAGCCAAAACACTGAGAGCAGGCCGCTCAGGAACAGCCTCTGGGGGCGCAACTGGAACAGCAGGAAACTCAGAGATGGCCTCCTTGACCATAACAGGCTGAATGAGAGCCACTGGAATGGCCTTCATAGCCAACACAGTTGGCTGTTCAGGAATGGCCTCTGTGGACATGACTTGTCTAACAGGAACATCTGTTGACTTGACATGACTTGCAGGAACAGCATCTGTAGAGGCAACTGGGGAAGCAAGCAGCTTGGAAATGGCCTCCGTGGCCAGAACAGGCAAGATGAAAGCCTCTGAACGGACTCAGAAATAACTGGGACTGACTTGTATGTCTGGGAGATGACATCAGTTGACTTGACTGTTTCAGGGGAAACATGAGCGATCTCAGTAGACTCAGGGGTGACTGGGAAGGTGTCATAGTCATAAATAGATGCAGCAGAATGAAGTGTCCTTTTCCTTCTTGCCCTTCGATTCTGAGTTGGAGTCAGAAGAGGAACTTGGTCTTGACTTGACAAGGGAAGTGGGGCAGAGTGGTCGCTGCATGCTGGCTTAGGTGGTGGAGGCATTCCCCACTGGATGCGATGACCAAGATACCTGGAGAAATCCCAGAAATTCAAAATCTTGAGGTTATCCATCTCCCACTTAGGCACAGGATCATCAAAGCAGGCATTGAAAATGTCCTAGAGGGTGGTATCATCATAATCAAGCCCCCTTGACATCGTCCAGAAAAACTGGGTAAATGCACCTATATCCCAGCCCTGTTGGCGAGCCAGTCTCTCCGGTGGCAGAATTCTGATGCTCATTCTGCTCTGTCCAGTGCTGGTCAGTTCACTCAAATGCAGAGTGAGTTTTAACAGATTTATTAGACAAAACGGCTGACTGGACAAGAGCTAGTGAGGAGGGGAGTGGACACAGTTCATACAGCAGGCAGGGGTTCGACAAGTGGTCAAGCAGGCTGAGAGAGAGGCCGTTGGGTCCAGCCCAGGCGGACAGTTGGCCCGAGAGGAGAAGAGGCTGTGCAGATGGAGACCGGAGGTTGGCAGCGGTGGCCTGCCAGGAACACAAAGCCCGGCCACTCCACACTCGTGACCCCTCAGACACTGCACAGGCCTAGCTACGTCGCAGACCCAGGGAGAACACCGGCAGCTCAGCACGCAGGACAGGACTAGACATGACTGCAGACAGACAAGAAACTTAAACCAAACTCAACAAACAATCTGGCAGGGAGAACTCAAGAACACGACGAATAGAAGCGCTAGCAAACATGCAAGTTGGAACAATGAACTGACAGCACAAGAGAGGAAGGGAGCACAATATAAAGGGGCAGAGAACATGAGGAACAGATGACCACACTCAGACAAACGAGGGCTAAACAAGGGGGCATGGTAATGGGACACAAGGAGGCAGGACGAGAGGAGCACATGGCAGACAGCAACAAAGACAAAGCCATGTGCTCAGACACAAAACAAACATAGAAACATGAAACAAAGACAACACAGACAGGGCAGGATCCTGACAGATGTCAAATAAAATAATATATTAATAAATTATTTAATTTGTGTTATTAAATGCAGTTAAAATAGTAAATTAAGTCATTTTTAAATGGAAAATTTAGTTGATATTTATTTAAAACTGTTTATGTAATTCATGCTTTAAAATGTTATTAAATAAAATAAGGGATGTAGTTAAAGCTGCAGTCCGTAACTTTTTTTGGTTAAAAATGATCCGAAATTAATATTTGAGCAAGTACATAACCAGCCGGTGTTCAAAACTATCGCCTTACTTTAGCCCGGTTCACAACGGTTAGCTTATAATAATGTTTTCTAATTTGAGTGGTCCGGGTAGGAATTCGCGGGAAATTCGAGCATGGCACTGCGTCATTACGTCACGTCTGTAAACATAAAGAAGTTGTCCCGGCTACTAGGCTATCGCATGTGAGGATCCTGCAGGTGGCCGATCGTTTATA